TGGGGGGAACGCTGAGCTGGGGTTAGGTACACGTAGAGGCTGGGGGAACGCTGAGCTGGGGGTCTGGGGGTACACGGGGCCGGGGGAACGCTGAGCTGGGGGGGAACGCTGAGCTGGAGGGAACATGGGGCCAAAGGAACACTGGGTTGGGGGGGAACGCTGAGCTGGGGGTACACGTAGAGGCTGGGGGAACTCTGAGCTGGAGGGAACATGGGGCCAAAGGAACACTGGGTTGGGGGGGAACGCTGAGCTGGGGGTCGCGGGGCCGGGGGAACGCTGAGCTGGGGGGACACGGAGCTCGGGGATGTGAGGATGGGGAACCCTAAGACTGAAGGGACATCGATCGGCCTTTGGGAACAAGAAAGCTGAGGGGACGCGGGCCGGGGGGGAACACCAGGCTGTGGGGACGTGAAGCCGGGAGGGGACGCAGGCATGAAAGGAACGCGGCGGCGGCAGGGGGCCGGGGGTGGGGGCGACCCGGGCGGGGGTGGAGGGGGACTGACGCGGAGCTGAAAGGGAAGCGGGGTGGGGTGGGGGGGACACACCGGGGCGGGGGCCGTGGTGCGGAAGGCCCCGAGGCCGGGGGAAATGCCGGAGCGGGGTGGGATGGGGAGGGAGTGGGGCTCACGGACCTGGCTCGGGTTGACGTGGGGCCGAGAGGGAAGCGGGTAGGGGTCGTGGGAAGGGGTGGGCGGGGCGGGCACCTCAGACCCGGGGGCTGCTCGAGGGGACCCGGGGAGCCGACGGGAAAGGTGTTGAAACCGCGTCCCATGTGGACATTGGACAACTAAAACCCTAGACCTGACTGAGGAGAGGTGGCGGCGGCAGGAGGGGGGGGGTATTGTGGTTCTAACAGGATTTAAAGTGAAAGCCCAGAATAGGAGGGGGGTAAAGATGGGGTGGGGGGAGAAACGAGGGCCGGGCATGCAGCGGAGAGGCCGAGGGGACCAGCCCGGGGCTCAGGGAAGCTCCTGGGGTCACGATGAGGGGTGTTGATCTACCAGGCTGAAGGAGCTTTCAGGGGGGATCATAGTGGAGGTGGAATGCCGGCCTTGCCAACATCCCCGGGGGGGAAGGGTGCTGGAGAGCCTGGCGTGGGAAAGCGGGGGGGGGGGGACTAGGGAGGTGAGGTCAGTCAAGGCCGAAACCCCCTGAGGAAATCCCCTCTGCATGTCCTGACACCCTCGGGTCCTGGTCCTGTCCTGATCTGTTTCTTTAATTTGGAGCCGGAAAAGGGGGCGGCTGGAGGGTGGGGGTCCGGGGGGGGGAGTTAGTAGTTGCTTTGGTTCCTGTAGTTAACCGGCCTTGGGTTTTCTCATAGGCTCTAATTGTCATCCCCGGTAGTGCCCCGTCACCACCCCCACCCTCAAGGTCGCTCAAGTCCCTTTTCCTGTTCCCAGCCTGGACTTTCCTCAAAGCGCAGCGATCTCCCCATTTCCTTCCCCTTTGAGTCACATGGTTCTCCTCCTGTGGGGCCGGAGGAAGGAAAAAGGATGGCTTTAGTAATGACTCTCCCATGCTTTGCGAGTCCGAACCTTGCTTCTGCCTTCCCCCTTTGTACGCTCTCTCTTCCACTTACCTCTAGTCCAGGCACTCTCTATGACCCATCTCTCCTCGGGTCTTCTGGAATATACCCACCGTTTTTTACCAGTTGTCTGAGGACCACCACCCACACATCCACTCATCTTCCATTTTTTGCTCACCAGCCCCCTTTTCACCCTTAGGCTTTTTTCCCTTTATCTCTGATGCCCTTCCGGATCTCCTTAGATCCCCCTTCTATTCTCCATTCACTAACCTGCCTTGTTTCTCCCACCTCTACCATTTTCTCTTCAGTGTTCTTGTGTGAGAGAATACACATCCATATGGATGCCAAAGGTACTGTCCCTAGTTGGGTTTTGTTTTCATTATGTGTTTCCATGGTGTTTTGCCTGCATGTGTCTGTGCACGTGCGTGCCTGGTGTCCAAGGAAACCAGAAGAGGACATTGGATTCCCTGGAACTGATCAATAGATAGTGTGAGCGGTCATGTGGGTACTGGGACTCGAACCCAGATCCCTTGGGAGAGCAGCGCTGGTGCTCTCGGTTCCTAAGCTATCTCTCCAGCCCCCTTTTTCTCTCTCCAATGCTCATTGCTTGGTGTCTTTGGGTTCTCATTTTTAATGTTTTTATTTTGAGGTGCTGGAGCCTGAACCCAGGACCTCCCACATGTAGACATTCTATCATCGAGACACACCCTTTCCTGTATTTAGCGTTCACTGTGTCATGGAAAGTAAGGTGGTAAGAATGAAAAAATAATAATAAATAATAAAACAACTTTTTCCAAATCGTTTTCGTTGTTAATACTTGGTTTTCCTTGTTTAAATATCCATGTATCCTGCATAATGGGCGTTAACAGCTTAGATGCAAGATTGTAAAACATCGGCAGCAAACTTCTGCCCTCCGGGGTTCTCCCATTGTGCTGTAAGCCTGTATTTAAGACCTCCTCCCTTCTTCAATAAACAGCATTCGGCATTAAAAAAAAAATCCACTTACTTAATTTTGTGTGTGTGTATGCAGCGAGGTGAGGGATGCCATGGTGTGCACCTGGACATCAGAGGACAACTTTTGTGGAATAGGTTCTCTCCTACCTGTGGGTCAAAGACTGAACACAGGTCTGTCAGGCTTGGAAGTAAATGTCTTTATAGGTTGAGTCCCATCTTGCTAGCCCTGGTTGATTTTTGAGGCAAGGTCTCATTCTGTAGCCTAGGCTGGACTCGGCAGTCCTGCCTCAGCTACCCAAGTGCAGGGATTACGGGCTCAACTCTAACCCCCTTCTTTTTTTTTTTTTTTAAGATTTATTTATTTATTATGTATACCGTGTTCTGTCTGCATGTATGCCTGCAGGCCAGAAGAGGGAGCCAGATTTCATTACAGATGGTTGTGAGCCACCATGTGGTTGCTGGGAATTGAACTCAGGACCTCTGGAAGATCAGTCAGTGATCCTAACCTCTGAGCCATCTCTCCAGCCCATAACCCCCATTCTTTACATTTACTCATCAGGTATAACGCAAGATCACTGAATTGTATGTTAAAAAATAACTTTATTCCAACATCGCTTAAAAATTCATAACCTTAGGACTAATTTCTCCCAAATTTCCCCTATCAAACGGTAAGGTCAATCACACAGCCACCTGGAGTCCTTCCTCTGCAGCAGCTGGCAGCCAGTCCCGTGTTGAGAAATTCGATTGGCACTTACTGTACAAAGTTGTACCCGTCCAGGGTGACACGCATGTGCTTCTGTGATCGTGGGAAATGGAGCTAATGCCAAAGCATGGGACTGCAGAGCCCCTCTCCCATGTATGTCTATTGGCTTCTGAGGGACATCAGTATGATTAAAACACCCCTGAAGTGTTTTTCTTCCTGCTTCTGACAAGTGGATCTCAGGAGTTAACTCATACAGGCAGATACCATTTTTTTCTTTTTTAAGATCAATGCACAAATTGGACTTCCCCATACAGAGTCTAACCCATCATCCATATGCCTTGCGATCTGGGTGTGGCTTGTGTTAAGGGAGAGAAGAGGGTGAGGTGTCCAGTTTTTCACAAACCCAAACATGAAGCCCTTGAGTGCCTGGGCTCTTAACTGATCTGCCATTTTATAAATGTGCACACAGGCTGGTAAGAGTGACAATGATAACTGATCAGGGCTTCAGAACAGGATTTGGCACCAAGCCTCTGAAGCTCCCATTTGCTAGTGGAAAAACCCTCAAATATTTCCTATTACCCGGTGTGTGCAGAAGAGGAAGCTGGGGGAAGCACCCGGTGATCTCACAAAACATTCACTATGTTCCCAGCTATGGCTTCCCCTCTGACTAGCTTCTCTTTCAAAGTTGTCTCTGAGTCACAGATCAACTCAGGAGCTCTGTCATCAGGCCTCAGAGGAGAGGCCTCTCAGGACTGAAGGCAACCTGAGTATCCCTTGTGATATGACAGACCGGAGTGACCCAGGGCATGAGGTACCACAAGGCAAGAGAACCGCGCTCCACTGCTATTCCCAAGGGCTCACGTTCACAGCCAGCTGAACTTCCCGGAGCTCAGGACCGGTCACACTGGCAGCGGGTCCTTCAGTTCAGTCCCCTCCTGCCCCTTTGCAGGTATTTCTGCTCACTAGCTCCTCGGGACTCGTGGGCCCCAGTGTTACGGTGTCCTTAAAGCCCTAGACCTTGTCTTGTCTGAGCAGGATGTACGTTAAGTACGGAGTGCAAATTCCAAGTCAGATTTTCATGGCTAGCACACAACCTATTGCACCTTCAGAAGATCCCTGACTTCAGAATATTTAGATGAAATTAAAAACAAAAACAAAAACAAAAAAAAACCCCAGAACTTAGCTGTCCCAAGCTCAACTCATTACCCACTATTTTCTTTCGAAACTTACTGTCCTCTTTTTTTTCTTCTCCTCCTGGAGCTGAGGACCGAACCCAGGGCCTTGCGCTTGCTAGGCAAGCGCCCTACCACTAAGCTAAATCCCCAACCCCAACTTACTGTCCTTAATCAGCACATTCCCCTACTAAGTCAGAAGGAAATACATGTATTCCCATTTCCGAGACACAGAAATTGAGGCCGAGTGGACTGTCTGTCCAGTTCAGGCCAGATGCTCTGTTAGGAAATGTTTCCCTTGCCTCCTTGCACCCAGCACAAGAGATACAAGGAAAGAAGCCGGAAGCTGACCTTAGGCCCATCATTTAGGGGGCTTTTAGAACCACATGCAGCTCTGTAAACCAAGAAGCTATAAGGAAAAGGGGTGTCCCTTTTCTAGGGGAAGAATGGCTGGGGTGGTCAGAGCTGACACAGTCTACGAAGGAGGCCCCCAACAGTAGTTCTTTCGAGCACCCCCTAGACACCTTTACACCCTAAACTTCCCCCCTTTGTTTCTCAGGAGCTTGGAAAGTGGTGCTGTTTCGTGGTTATTCTAGATGGGGAAAGAGAGGCAAAATAACAAGAAAAGGAGCCTCAGAGTCTGACTCTGAGGTCCAACCCAACTGCCTCCCCTCTCCCTGGAAGGGGCCTGGTTCCTTACCTCTATGTTGATAAAAACAAAAAAGAAAAGGCCCGCCTCCATGTTCCCCTTTGTGGTGGGCAAGCTGGTTGCAAACCTGGAATAGTGTGGCACAGGGCACAGATACCAAGTGGGTGCCCTCACCTCCCCCACCCCACCCCCCAAAAAAAAATCAGTGTCACAGTACATGAACCTGGGTAGAGCCAAGTGTCACAGCCAAGTGTCACCTCAGACACCGCTGGTAACTTTGCCCCGCACCGGCTACTCCTTCCCAGTGCAGTTCACACCACCGAGGTAACCCACACCAAATGAAATCAGTGGAATAAGCCGGGAGGAGAGATGGCTGCCCGGGCTGGGACAGCCTAGCCGTCACCAACGCGAGCTCCCAGGCAGCGGTCAGAGGGCGGTCAAAAGTGAACTTGCAAGACCCGTGGACAGTGGACTGTCTTCATCAAACTGGCTTGTCTTCCTCTTCAACAATGTCACTTTGCCGCTCGTCACTGTCATCTGTGAGGAGGTGAAAGAATGGAACCGAATGATCTCACCAGCAAGGGGAGGGGTTTTTACCGTCTGCCTCTGTCATCCTGAGGACTGGTGAGCTACAGAATGGGACCTTGCCGGGCGGTGGTGGCGCACGCCTTTAATCCCAGCACTCAGGAGGCAGAGGCAGGCGGATCTCTGTGAGTTCGAGGCCAGCCTGGGCTACCAAGTGAGTTCCAGGAAAGGCGCAAAGCTACACAGAGAAACCCTGTCTCGAAAAACCAAAAACCAAACAAAAACAGAATTGGACCTTGAGGAGGAAGGGCGGTAGGGCAGGGTGTATCACAATCTCCCTCATTCCATTTTGTTCTGTTTGAGGCAGGGTCTCACATAGCCCAGGCTGGCCCCAAACTCACTACGTAGCCAAGGATAACTCAACTTGTGATCCTCCTGCCTCTATTTCCCAAGGGCTGGCTTGCACCATCATACCCAGAAGTCACCTGTTCTCTGAATTCAGAATCTAGATATGGCTGGTACTTGTCACCCATTACGCGCCTGACTCAAATGGAAATGTTCTCTCTCCTTATTCAAATTCAACTGCCCTTCTAGATCTGCCTCAGAGCCATCTCTTCCCCAAAGCTGCCCCTGGCCAAATTACCCCTCCCAGCTCATCTTCTTTTAAAGTCTCAAGATTTTGGGTTGTTTTTCAGACAGGGTTTCTCTGCGTAGCCCTGGCTGTCATGGAACTCACTGTGTAGACCAGGCTTGCCTCGTACTCACAGAGATCCACCTGTTGCTGCCTCCTGAGGCTTGGGATTAAAGGCGTGCACTGCCACCACCTTGCTGGTCTCAGGATTTTTTATTTTATTTTATTTTTGGTTTTTTTCAAGACAGGGTTTCTCTGTGTAGTTTTGGTGCCTTTTGCTGGATCTCACTCTATAGACCAAGCTGGCCTTGAACTCACAGAGATCTGCCTGCCTCTGCCTCCCAAGTGCTGGAATCAAAGGCATACACCACCACCACCCGGCTGGTCTCAGGATTTTTAAATCTACCGACCATCAGAACAGTTCTCCTTGGGGTTTCTCTCAGCACTGGATAAATTTTACTTCCATTTTAATTCCCCCACACACACCCCACACACACATTTTCATGCACTCAGCCTGCTGGTCTTAGCAAGCTGCCCACTCAGACAATAAAGGGCTTTCTTTCCTATTCAACAATCTCTGTACTATGTCTGCCCCACGTCCTTTGTTAGATGATTTCTTCTCTGTGCTGGTGGTTAATACATGGTAATTATCTTCCCCTAAATGCGTGGGACCAGAAGCGATGTGGACTTCAGATTGTGGGTAATCTGCATGTACAGAATGAGAATCCATAAGGTGGGACCCAAGTCTAGACATGAACTCTTAAGTTTATTTTATAGTTCCCTTAAATAGGTCATTTGTAGGTAATTGCAAAAAATATTAATTTTATTGTTTATGTATTTAGCGGGGGTGGGTGGAGGTCAGAGGACAAGTCTGGGGGTGAACTCAGGTCATCGAGGGTTGGCAACCCATCTTACCAGCCCCATTTTATATGATATTTTAAATAATCTCATGCATGAAACAAGTAAGTTGAAGCATCAGGCTTGGGACATACATTGACAATTAAATGTTTCACATTTTTTGGGGGGGGATGGAGCACTCAACCAAATGTGGAGTTTCGGGTTCTAGACTAAACTTGAGCTAGTTAACTTCCTTAGGCTCTAAGGAATTGCCCCCTTACTCCTTAGAGACACCTCTGGGGAAGCTGATGACATGGGAGTATCCAGCAAGCTTACCACGCAGGTCCTGGAGTCCATTCCCCATGCGGTCTAAGTTCCCATTGACCAGCGCGGTCACTCTGTGAACGTGGCCGTGCTTGTGGGTCTCTCTTGGCAACTCCTCCCTCTCATCTGTCCCCGGCTCTACCTCTTCAACATCTTCCTTGTCTTCTTCCTCCTCCTCTTCCCCTTCGGAATCCACCAAAACCATGACGTCACCCATGTCCTGCCCCCTAATTTCCAAAGGAGAGATAGAAAAAAAATCAGATGTCATCTATCCTAGCTTGCGCCCCAATGAACAGACACCACCAGGCGCCTTGTAATCCCTTTAAGACGGTGGGAAATTCTTCATGCAGTCAGCATGGCTCAGTCATGACAGCGAGGTTGTAACCTCAGGAAGAGATGTAGTCACGGAGGGGGAAAGATGGTGGCTGGGTCTTTTGTAGGATATTTGTTTACAGGCTGTCCCTATCATGTTGTTTCGGGCATCCAGCCCTGTTATTATTGGGGTGAATCTAAATGCTGCATTCTGAGCTGGGGGTGTGGCTCAGTGGCAGGAGTGCGTGTGCCCAGTATTATATTCCTGGTGGGGTATGCCTGAAATTCCATCACTTGGCAGGTGAACCCAGGACCATCCACAGTTTAAAGTCATCTTTGGTTACCCTAGTGAGTTTGAAGCCGGCCTGGGATACCTAAGAAATTGTCTCCAAAGGTTAAAAATAAAATAAAATAAAATAAAAAAGTAAAAATAAAAACAAAGCGGGGTTCTTTCCTAAAATGCTCTTTATTTCTGTCTCACTGCTGGAGATCTCTCCTGATCCTCGGGTAAGGTCTTCTCCCCTCCATGCACATCTGGGCTCTATGTCCAGCATCCAGGTGTGGAACTGCTCTTGGCTAACCACTGCCGTGTCCTGCCTCACCTGGCTACACGCTTCTTTTTTTTTTTTTTTTTTTTTTTTTTTTTTTTTTTTTTTTTTTTTTTTTTTTTTGGTTATTCGAGACAGGGTTTCTTTGTGTAGCCTTGGCTGTCCTGGATCTCGCTCTGTAGACCAGGCTGGCCTCCAACTCACAGAGGTCTGCCTGCCTCTGCCTCCGCCTCCCGAGTACTGGGATTAAAGGCATGCGCCACGACCGCCCGCCCGGCTGGCTACACGCTTCTTAAGGAGGGAATGGTGTGCTTCACCCAGGGACCACAAGCCCAGGAGCCCTTTAGCCACAATTCACCCTCCTCACACCCCTCTGTGAAATGGATGGGGGGATGAGGGCTCAGAGGGAGCTCCATGCACAGAACTCAGGGACAGCAACTGGGACCCAGGGGCACGGTTCCAAAGCCACTTCCCACAATGCCACACTGGTGTCCCTGGGGATAAGCCTGGGAATGGCAAATTTGCCGGGACAATGGCCCTCAACAACAGAGTGGCAAAGGGAATGATTCCCCACGAAAGATGCTTCTAGAACAGTAAGACTCCATTGTGAGGAAAGAGGGAAAAAAAGAACTACTTTCTACTGCCCAGCATCACTTGGGAAATGAAATATACACATTCCATTTGTTTACTTGTCCCTCGCTATTTTTGTGCGAGGGTGGGGACTTCTGGGCATGTTTAGACTTGTCTTCCAGCACATTCTATGAGCCTATGACTCAGTCTTCCTTTTGCTCTTTTTAGAAAATGGGGGCTGGAGAGATGGCTCAGAGGTTAAGAGCACTGGCTGCTCTTCCAGAGGTCCTGAGTTCAATTCCCAGCAACTACATGGTGACTCACAACCATCTGTAATGAGATCTGGTGCCCTCTTCTGGTATACATACATACAAACAGAACACTGTATGCATAATAAATAAATAAATCTTGAAAGGAAGGAAGGGAGGAAGGAAGGAAGGAAGGAAGGAAGGAAGGAAGGAAGGAAGGAAGGAAGGAAGGAAGGAAGAAAGAGAGAAAGAGAGAAAGAGAGAAAGAGAGAAAGAAAGAAAATGGAATAAAGCAAATGCCTGAGTGACCTGGCTCATATGTACACATGATCTACATGCATCATTGTGCCCAACCCATAGGTTCCCCTTGTAAAGGAGCACAGGACTCTGGAATGCATCAGACCCTACCGCCTGCTTCCTGGATTCACCAGCAAATCCTTATCATACCACTGGGTCTCTCCACCTTCTCATCAGTAAAACAGACACATGCACACACACACCTCAGGAGGTCATCAAGATGGAGGTTTTCCCACCATGCCTTGGGAAGCGCCCACCCCAGGGTCAGGGACATGGTTGGCTCCGTCAGAGTTAACTATTATTGTTCTTAAGGAAAACAGAAGCAATAGGAAAGGATGGAAGTAGGCTTTGGATTAGAGTCCCAAGAGCACTCACCTGAAAGTGCTCCCTGCTGGAGAGAAAAGAAAACAAAAGTGAGCATCAGGGGCATCATTTCTGTCTCAGCGTTTTCAATCAAACGAGCAATGGCTGAGGAGATCACCCAACAAACAGCATGAGGGCCTGAGACCACATTCGGATGCCTAAATAGCCAGGCATGGTTGTATGTACCTGGGATTCCAACATTGTTGGGGGGCGGGGGAGGTAGAGCCTAGGAGCTTGCTAGCCAGCCAGCCTAGCCAAAGGGGTGAGCATCCAGTACATGGAGACCCCGTCTCAAGTAAGCCATGGCATACACGGGCACATACACATTCCTGTGCATACAACAGATATACACATAGAGAAAATAATAAATATATTATTAATATTAATATTAAATTTAAAAAAAACCCTAACATTGACAAAAGATAAACAACTAAGGAACATTCAAAACACTTGGGTACTTAGGGGCCTCATTATTGTACACATTGCTCCAATGAAGCATTCATAGGCTAGGGCATTAGGTGGAAGCTGGGCATAGGGTTTTCCTCTTACACACAGTTTTTTACATTTTTACTTATTTTTATATATATGGGTGTTTTGCCTGTATGTCTGCGCACCACATGCACGCCGGTGTCCAAGGAGACCAAAAGAGGGCACTGGATCCCCTGGAACTGGAGTTGCAGCCAGCTGTGAGCTGCCATGCAGATCCTGGGAATCAAACCCTGGTTCTCTGGAAGAGCAGCCAGTGCTCTTAACTGCTGAGCCATCTCTCCAGCCCCACCCACGACATTTTTTTTTTTTTTTTTTTTTAAGCCTCAAAGAGAAGCCGGGGGACTCGAGGGGCTCTTACCTTTCCAGCAGAACACAGGGCTGTAATACAGTATGAGCCCGGCGACAACGGCCAGTCCCAGCAGGAGGAGGCTGACCACCGTCCCCACGATGCCCCCGACATTCAGAGGTTCTGTAACGAGATCGCACCGTGAGCCCTTTCACGTGGTCAGGTAAAACCTCCGCTCTTCAGCCCACATCCACTTCTTGTCTCGTCTTGGTTTTGTGTTCACAGGACCACTCCGAAATCAACCTCAGGCAGAGAGAGTTTAGGAGATCAAGTGAAGCGTGGAGCTGAAAGAACACTGTAAAGTTAAGGGGCTTTGCGTGGGCCAGACACTGGGACTGTTTCCAAGGCCACAGTGTGCTCGAGTGGGAGCTAGTGCCACAGTAAACAGAGTGATCGACAGGCCAGGGCAGAGAGTTTATTTCTTATTTTTTGTTGTTGTTGCTTTTTTGAGACAGGGTTTCTCTGTGCTGCCCCGGCTGGCCTCGAACTCACAGAGATCCAGCTGCCTCTGCCTCCTGAGTGCTGAGATCAGAGGTGTGTGCCACCCCTGCCAAACCAGAACAGATAATTTAGGCACTGGCCACACACAGAAAAAAATGGGACATCTGGGTATGGTGACCTAGGCCCAAGGCAGGAGGATCACAAGTTCAAGCCTAGCCTAGTCTACAGAGGAAGTTGTAGGCTGGCCAGGGCTACATAAAGGACCCTACCTCACGTGAAGACCCAACAGAAGATCGTGGTACTGTCATGGGAGTGAACAAGGGAAGCCAGGACAGATGGAGCCGGGTCAAACCCAGGCAAGGTGGGAGGGGCCAAATCGAGGAAGGAAACTTGATCTGACCACACACCACCCACATAAAAAAAATCAAGTCTGTGGGGAGAATGTTAAAACTTCAGAAAAAAAAATCATAGAAGAAAGCCAGGCATGGTGACGGACACCTGTAATTCCAAGCACTCTAGCGAAGACAATACAAAATCAAAATATCAATCCACTCTGAAGAACCTTGCATGCTCCTGTGCCCTGCAGGTTAACACACTCATCACAAATTTAATTCTCTTTATTACATTTTTTGTTTGTGTGCTCCCACGTGCCCAATTGGGCACGCCATGGTCAGAGGACAACTTGGGGGAGTTGGATCTCTCCTTCACCATGTGGGTCCCGGAGACCAAACTGAGGTGGTCAGACCTGGAAGCTACTCACTGAACCATCTTACCAGCCCACGATTCTCTGCGCAAAATGAACCGTGTGCACCCATCTCATTAGCAGGCCCGTTTGCTGTCATATTTAATAAACAGTGAAAGTGCACGTATATCCCAAAAAAAGCTTTCCCAAAAATTGCTTTATGATTTATCATCAGCCAATGTTGGATTTGTGTAATTTATATCTCTTCACACCAAGGGCCCTGGAAAAACTTTGGGTAAAAAGTTGTGACTGAGACATTTAAACAGCAGCTCTGGTATTAAAGGGGACATCGCTTCCTTGCTTCCTTCCTTCCTTCCTTCCTTCCTTCCTTCCTTCCTTCCTTCCTTCCTTCCTTCCT